CGGCTCCCCACTGGCCGCCCGGAGCCCTGGGGGTGGGGAGACGTCCCAGCCCCCCGTGGCAAGCGGCGCCCTAGCCCGGCAGGCCCGGCACCCGGAAAGCAGGCTTTCTCAGTGTCTTTTATTAAGCTAGAGACAGACGACAGCAACGCGTCGCCGGCAGAGCCCGGCCGGGCACCACTGGAGGCCGGTTGTGCTGTGCTGTGTGCTCCTCTCCGCAGCGCCTGCAGGCCCAGCTCTGGCCAGGCGGGGCTCTCAGCAGAGCAGGGCCCTCTCCTGAGACCCGTCAGCGGCCTGAGCCGCGGGGGGCCCTAGAGAGGCAGCTTCAGCCCCCGGCTCTCCCACCGGCAGCCCTTCTTCCACAGTGGGTGCTCCGGGTGGGTGAGCCCAGCCCCAGGGCAGCTGAGGGCTGGCTGCAGGGCCCTGGGCTTCCTCTAGCCTTGGGGTGTGAGGCCACGGCCGGCGGGCGTCACTGCAGGGCTCCCTGGCCTGGAAGCATCCTCCACCTCAGGGGCTTCTGCTGGGTCCCGCGGGTCCCGCCTCTCTGGGGCCGGGACATCCCTGGGTGACAGCCAGCCCACAGGAAGGTGTGACGGCGCTTCCTGCGGGTTCCCCAGCCCCGTGCAAGACTTGCTGGCACAGGCCACCCAGAAGCTGTGCACGCGTGTCCTCCTGTCCGGGCGGAGGGCGTCCGTCAGCCCACGCCCCTCCGAAGGGCCTCTCCCCTGCAAACCAGCACCGTCCGAAAGTCCTCGGTGGGCAGATGGCCGCGGGGGGCTGCTCCTCTCTCACTGAAGGTCACAGCCTGAGGCCGCAGTTCCAGGACGGCGCTCTCCGGCCCCTCGGGACGCTGCCGTGGCCCAGCAGAACCTCGGGCGGCCTGGAGCCGGCCACCGGGCAGGGAGGACGGCAGCCGCGGGCAGGGGAGAAACGCGCGTCTGAGGACGAGAGAGAGAACGTGAATTATGAGCACCCACTGCTCGGAGCAGCACGGCGCTGTCGGGGCCGCTCCCTGCGCCCCGGCGAGCTCCCCGGCAAGGGCTCGCTCGCCTGCCCGCCTGCCGCATCCCAAGCACCTCCCGGGCGCCCCCCGCCCAGCAGGCGCCTCTGGCCGCCGGGGAAGCTGGACGACCACGCTCCAGACCAGAAGCCACAGGCCCAGGAGATTAAGTCACCGCACAGTGAGTAAGCATCAGATGAGCTTAAAAACTACGTTAAATTGATTTTAATTTATTATTAACTTAAAAAGTAGGCTAAAACCAGAACAGAACTCCTCGGCATTCCTTTGCGGAAGGTGTGACGTGGGGGGTGCTTAGCCAGAGGCCTGCGGGACGGGTGAGAGCTGGCCAGGGGTTGGCCACGGCGGGGTCCGGGCAGCGGGCGCCAGAAACGGGGCTTGGGCGCCAGCGCAGGGAAAGGGGCCCAGGGCCCCCAGCCCCCCCCAGCCTCCCTGGCACACTCGGCGAGCTTCCCCCCCCGGAACAGGCCGGGGTGCGGGCTCACCTGGCCGGCTCGGCGGGCGCCCCTGGCCCTCAGGCGGGCAGGTGCTTCCAGGTGCTGACGAAGGCTGTGGGGATAAGCGAGTAGGGCACGGTGGTCACGCAGCTCCACGTGTCGGCCGTGGGGTCATAGCAGTCCAGGGTCTTACAGCGCTGGGTCCCGAAGTAGCCGCCCACCACGTAGAGCTTGTTGCCCGAGGCCAGGGCGTGGCAGGACATGCGCTTGGCCGTCATGTCCCCGATGCGCGTCCACTGGTTGGTCTCGCAGTCGAAGCGGTAGGCCGAGGCGGCCGTGAACTCCGTGTCGCCCCCCATGATGAAGATCTGGCTGCCCAGCACGGCCGCGCCGGTGTAGCGCCAGGGCTGGGGGCACTCGGCCTTGATGCCCCAGCGGTTCTCCGAGGGGTCGTAGCACTGGACCTTGGACACCATGTCCCGGTGGATGCTGGTCCCGCCGAAGACGAAGAGCTTCAGCTTGGCGCTGACCACCGCGGCGTTGCTGACGCCGTCCCTGAGCGGGGCCACCATGGTCCACCTGTTGGCCCCGGGGTCGTACTTCTCCACCTGCTTCAGGGACACGGAGGGGGAGGCCGGGAAGACGCCGGCCAGCGACGTGTGCCCCCCGACCACGTAGAGGCAGTTCTCCAGCTCCGCGGAGCCGTGGCCGAAGCGGGCGACCTGCATGGGCGCGGCCTTGGACCACTCCTCGTGGACGGTGTCGTACACCCACACGTCCTTGGAGACACCGTTCTCGGAGCCCCGGCCCCCGGTCACGTAGACCTTGCAGCCGATGGCCGAGGCGCTGAACTCCTTGCGCGGGCTGGGCAGGTCCGCCTTGGGGATGATCTCCTTGGCCTGGTGGTCCACCTGGTAGATCTTGTCGCACATGAAGGTCTGGCCGCCCAGGATGAGCAGCGTGTGGCCGGCCTTGCGCGGCCGGGCGCAGGGGCTGGTGACCACGCCGTCGTTCTGCAGGATCCGGGCCTTGCAGTGGACGGCCTCGTCCAGGATGAGCCTGGTGCGCTCGTCCCCCAGCAGCGGGGCCTCGCGGGCCACGGCCTCCTGCAGGCAGCGGGCCGGCAGCAGGGCCAGGCGCACACGGCGCAGCAGCTCGGGCAGGTGGGCGCGCCGCCCGGCCAGGTCGTGCTTGACCCACTGCAGGATGGCCTCGAAGACCGCCTGCTCGTCCTCCGTCTCCAGCTCGTCGCTGGACACGAGGTCCAGCAGCGTGTCCTTGGACAGGCTGTTGAAGTGCTCGCTGCGCCGCACGGCCTCGAAGTGCACCAGGCACATGCGCCAGGAGAACTCGTGCAGCCGGCGGCACTGGTGCGCGTCCGACAGCAGCATCATGCCCAGGCAGTTGGCGGGCACCAGGTGCTTCTCCAGGAACTCGGCGGCCGCGTCCCGCACGTCATGGAACTGCAGCATGTCGCCGGCCTCCAGCAGCGACTCCGCGTTCTCCTCGTTGATGGCGATGCGGGAGGAGTAGGCGAAGTCCAGCAGCAGCTCCAGCACCTCGGGGTGCAGGTTGTCCTGGAAGTTGACCGTGTCGTCCTGGCTCTCCCGCAGCCCGTGGCTGAACATGGCCTCGAAGTAGCGGCTGGAGGCGGCCAGCACGGCGCGGTGGCAGGGGAAGGCGCGGTCGCCGGCCCACAGCGTCACGTCGGTGAACATGCGGTGCTGGCGCAGCGTGTTGAGGTGAGCCAGCACGCAGTCGGGGTGCGAGGCCTTGTGGAAGAGGGTGACGTTCATGCAGCCCGCGCTGCCCCGCGACTTGCGGGTCTCGTGCACGCTGACCGACATGCTGGGCCACCTGC